TATCAGTTTGTACATGCTCCAGATAGCTTTTCTTCAAATTATTTAATTTTCACTCGCTTTGCACATGCGCAGGACTGGAACGTAAGCGTTTTGGGCCGTTTCAATGTGGACGCTCAACTCTGTGAAAACGACCAAAAACGCTAGTGTGGACGCGGAGCGTTTTCAAATCTATCCGGGCTAGTGTGGACGTAACCCAAGGAACTGCCCTCCCAGTCCATTGTTCCTTCAGTGGGCTGGTTTCAGTCATTGTGAAAAGGTACTGTTTATAAGATTGGGGAAACCTGCAGTCAGCTGAGACTGAAGAAGTCACTTGGATGAGTGACGAAACATTTCTCCACAAAACGCTACGTCCAGATGAACAGAATCAAGTTTTGGAGATTTACTTACCTGGATGATTGAGCATGCATCAAGACATCCATTCATATACAATAAATTAAAAAGCCACCCTGCAGTACTAACTACAAGATCCATAAAGGTTTTTTACTGATTTTCACATTTGGTTTGACCATGACCTGATTTTCACCATAATTAAATCAGCTCGAGCTGTTATTAGTATCTACCATCACACAAAATTTCAAAACGATATCTTGAAAACTGGACTCTGCTAAAAGACAGAAGTGACGGAGCAGTCGGGTGAAGACTGACACGCTACCTTGATGCACTGCATCGTGATGTGGTTGATCACCCGGATGATGCCACGGGATCCGGCCACAGCCAGCAGGGGGTGACTCGTGTTGGTGTCATAGGTCCAGGCGCACGTGTAGAAGTTCTCGTCTGCCTTTGCAAAGTCAAGGAAACCTGAACAGAATCTACACTTACCTTTCTTTAACAGACTCAGATGTCCCGCTGTCAGCTGCACAGTCACTAAAACTTCAGCACAAACAAGCATCTCTTCTTCTCTGTACCCCCTGAACTCTTTTCCGTTCACACTGTATATTTTCTGCTCTCAGCTGCAGAGCTTTTATGGAGTTCAAATACCTTTCAGATGGCTAGATAATGTAAAAATATCAGATATCTTAATCCTCGCTGTTAGCCTTCAGCTCAGGTGTCGAGGCATTAAACCCGTCTAGACTGCCCTTCTGTCATCTAAGCAATAAAGAAGTATTTAAAAGCCAAACAGTGGGACTTTTGTGTGTTAGGAAAACTGACAAATGAGAGCAAAGAAGGATTGAGGAAGTAGGTGAAAGGATACGTCTGCATCAACGTAGGACTGCAGGAGTCTGATTTCTCCTTGAGAGTGGCATTCATACAGAGTTACCTGGATAAGCACAGATGTGAGAGGTGGACAAGTTCACTAATAATCAGTGTTTAAAAGACATTTTTAATGTTCCTTTCATTGAGAAACTATAAATGGATAAAGAAGTCATTGCAAATCCACAGAGTCATTGGAGCTTGTTGTTATACACTGGTAAATCTCATGCTTTTATTGTCTTTGCGAGCATTTTACAGTGAGCTGCATGCTTTGAAAACTCCTAACAATATATTGGACAAACACCAGTAAACAGATCAGGACTTTCCCACCTCTGGTAATATGCTGACCCACTACAGAAATAAGCAATTTAAACCAAATTTTAAATAACTGATCATTTATTTACCCTGTTACTCCCAACTGTAGCAAACACCAGCGGGTCTCCCTCCTTGCTGTGCCAGTTAAACTGGACTCCAAACAATGGCTGGCCATGGTCCTCCTGAGACAAATACAGATGTTGTTAATAGCCACTTGCGCTCCTACAAAAAAAATCCTGTATGTATGAGTGCGCACTAAACCAGATGGATGTACTAAGAAGCAAGTTAAACAAAACAAGGCTTTATTCTGGCTAGATGACACTTCAATCAATTTAGTTCAGTTTGATTTGTGTAGCACCAAATCACAACAGAAATCTCTTCTTTATATTATAAGGTAAAGACACCACAATAACATGGAGAAAACCCCAACAATCAGGCAACTCCCTATGAAGAAGCATTTGGGGACAGTGGGAAGGAAAAACTCAATTTTAAGAGGAAGAAAAAGGCTCAGGTAGGGCCGGGAATCTGTTGCCACTGGTTCGAAGTGAGGGGAAAAATAAAGGACAAAGAGACACTGCCAGAGATTAACAATAACTAATGATTAATTGCAGACTGGTTTATAAAACATTAAGAGACCAAAGATATGCTCAATGCATCATGGGAATCCCCCAGCAGCCTAGACCTTTTGCAGTGTAACAAAGGGAGGAATCAGGGTCACCTATAAGCTTTGGCTGAATATTATTGACGATATTCTGTAAATAATTCAAATTTCCCATCTGTGTTCTTCCACTTTGAGCTGCTGCCTTTAGTGATTGCCACACCACAGCGGATCATCTGCCTTCCTGGCATCCTCGTCTGACACAACAACCCACTGCATGTCCTCCTTCACTTCCTCCCCCAGTTCCATCTTCATCGTCCTTAGTCCAATATATCCAGTCTTTCCTCTGCATGTGTCCAAACCATCTCAGCATTGTCTCTCCAACCTTGTCTGTAAATCGGTGTCCCTCTGATGCATTACCTTCTAATTGTATCCCTTCTGGTAACTGCCAATGAAACTCTTAACATCTTTAACTCTGCATCTTGTCTTTATGTCAGCACCACTGTTTCCAAACCAGAGATCATAGCAGGTCTCCATTATAAACTTGTAAACTTCCCCTTTCACTTTTGCTGCCATCTTTCTGTCACAAATCAACCCTGACACTTGTCTCTACCAACTACACGCTGGCTGCACTCTCTTTTTGACCTCTTTTGCACACCGTCTGCTGCTTTCAGTGGGTTGATCCACGATATTTAAACTCCTTCGCCTTCACGATAACTACTCCTTGGATACTCACCTGTCACTCATTCACACGTGAATTCTGTCTTGCCTGCCTAGCAGTTTAAATCAGACCAGGCAGCAGATTAGGACCGACCTATTAATGCCTTTTCTGAATCGACAGCTAAGAACATTCAAATACCTGACTGACTATGTATTGTTTTTTGTACTGCAGGCAGTTAGCAGGACATTTGCTGGCTCATTTCACAGTAAACCCCTCTAGGTTCTGCACACTGTCTGGTGTGCTGGACGTACTCACCCTCAGGCTGTTGACACATTTAAAAGAATATCTGCACTTCTTGGACTTCCACTTGCCCTTGCCCCAGCTCTTTCTGCCGGGGGCATTGGCGGTGTTGGTGGGTGTGTCTGGGCGTTCTGCATTGGTGCCACTCTCAACGCTGACGGCATCGTCCTGCAACCAGCAGCAACACAAACAAACGTGTTATTTAATGCAAAATCATCTTCTAAAGATGCGCATTGAAGCCAGAACATGAGCACTCATAAACAAAGTGTGCCTGATGTGCTGAATACATTGTAAACACGTTTCTTGCCTTGCTATTTGTTTAACACTGCACTTTTTATAGCACAAAAAACCCAAAAACAATCAAAAGCGTATCACTTCCAAACTATTGGGTCATTTTAAACACAATGAAGGAGGAGACAAGTAAAGACGGCTGTGGTTGGCCCAGGCTGCTACAAAAACATTCCTCATTAATCAGTTCATAAAGCGCTATAACATTTTTCTCAAAATCAAAGCTTAACTCAAGACCATTCTTGAGCAACCCATCCGAAAAACACTACCTTTTGGTCAGTATTTAGTTTATTATTTATCTGCTTGATGCTTTTTGCCAAGGCTAGCCCAGGTTTACACGTGAATAACTCCAGTCTGAGCACAAAGAAAACACGTGTGCGCTAACATGGAAGGTGGAACACGTGCGGGAAAATTTATTTGGAGACACTAAAATAGTCCACAGTGAATAACTATATCTGATAGCTCCAGCTGTTTGAATCCAGCCGGTGTGAATAAACAAAGATGCTAGCTAAAGCCTTTAGCACATCTGCTACTTTAGCACAATGCTAACTGATCAGAAGCGCTACACGGCTCATCTGCGGCCCAACATCAAACACAGTTTAAACGCTTACGTTCTCGTCTCCTGACAAGTCGGGGTTGCTGTTCTCATCGCTGCTCAGCTTTTGCTTTTTCGCCGGTATTTCTTTTCCCGCTTGAGAAGGGGACTCGGACATGTTCTTATTTTCCCTCATTTTGGAATTAACCCCGCCCCTTCCGCTCCTACGCCCACGAGCATGCCGGAAACTGAATATTCAGCCAATCACAAATCGCAGCTCGACTGCACAAATACCGGTTATTTTCCAGTTAAAGCCGTGCAGGCGTATTATTTATATTTTTAGCTTCGTGCCACTATTTATATATTTTTATAATAATTTCTTTATCCTTTACTTCCGGACTTCTGTCATTTTAAACGCTCTTGAGCAATAGTTCTCCAGCTTTCTGAAAATCTTTCAAAGTGTTTCTTTGACCATTGCTGCTTTTTCATTCACATTCAGTTTACACATTCAGATTCAACTGCACAAGCTGAGGACAAAGTTACAACAGTGAGTGCCTACAGACGTCTGTAAAACACGGTGGAGGCTCTATCAAGGTTTGGGCTGCATTTCAGTAAGTGGTGTTCAAGATCTCTTCAAATGATGAATTAAGAACTCAGAAAAGTACCATCAGATTTTGATCCACCATGCAATTACATCTGGAAAGCATCTGATTGGTAACAGCTTAATTTTTCAGCATGGCAATGATCCCGAACACACTGCCAATGCAGTAAAAAAATTCCTGAATAAAAACACATGGAGCCCAGACCTCAACAGCAGTGTGGGATCATGTTGACAGAGAACAGAACAAAAGGCAGAAACATCCAAAGAAGAGCTTTGAATGTCCGTCAAGAAGTCTGGAGAACTATTCCTCAAGATATACACATCACTGCATCTATTTCATTTATTTTCCTAGAAAAAATATGGAGACGTCCAAGACCTTTGCATAATAATGTAAATAACATTTGCTTATAAACTCTCTATGTTCTATATATACGCTAACAAAAAAAAAATCAATAATAATAATAATTATAATCATACAGGATGACATTTCATTAAACCAAAGAAAACCATCCACAGTTATATATGAATTTAATTATAAAAGAACTCTAAAACATCACATCCAAGTACACAAAAATCTGTTTTTCTTTTACAGTCCAACATGTGTCATGCTGTGGCACTGAAGTGGCCTACAGCATCATTTCTGCATCCTCTAAAGAAGCCTCGCTCATCTCCTCAGACAGGTCTTCATCCTCCTCCCCCTGGTCCTCTGTCTCCTCCTCAGCTGCCCTCTTTAAGCCTCTTTGCTTTGAGAGGGCCACGGCATAGCGGATGTTGTACATGTTGAAGTCGCAGCTACACAAACAAAGCACACATTCAGATCTGTTAAGCTGTATCTGGGCAAAGGCACAACGTTTCAGAGGATCTGTAACTTACAGCTTGGAGAGGTCGTCGAAGTGCCTCTGGATGCTCTTCTGCAGCGCCTGCAGCGTGGGCAGGATGGCTCCAGACCTGCATGCCAAAGCAGATGCATTGAAAAATTTGTTGCTGTCATCTTCTGTTCACTTACAGTCATGCTGAACTGAATCTGTGATGTGAATGAGAGCCTGAGGACACACCTGTTCTTCAGTTTCTGTCCGTGCAGCATGAGCAGGTTCTGGGCCCAGGTCATATAGAACTGCAAGTGGCCCGACTTCTCCAAACACGTGGCGATGAAACCCAGCAGCTTCTCGACATAAATGTCAGGAAGAGAGCCGCAAACCACCGGGACTAGGCCAGAAGGACGCACAACTCACATCACTCGGGCGTTTCCAAGTGAAAAAGGGAACTCAAAATGTTAAATAAGGTGAAATTCACTCACTCTGCTCATGTGGGACCTTCTCCAACACTTCCTGCTTGAGGGCTTTTTCGTTGAGTCTGAACGCCAGAACTATGGCCGACGCCCACTCCTGAAGGCGCAGCTGCTTGCGTATGCTGGCTGGTGTCACGTCTAGGTCCAGGTCGTACGGGTCGAAAACCAGTGACCCGTCAAGGGAGTAGACCAGCAGGCCCTCAGTGGTGGTGGCCGCCCAACTGCGACCTGAGGAGGAGAACAACTTGACTAACCGGCCGACAAAGCTCGTCTGTAACGGGACGCATGCTTTTCATACATGCTTCATAAACGTGTCTGCTGGTGTCCAGGGAAGTTTGCTGCACGAGATTCAAACACCGTAATGGGAGCAGAAAACAACATGAAAAACTGCTGTGATGAAGGACAACATCAACATCATGAAGGACAACATCAGTGTTGTCTTCCATCATCCAGTGTTCACAGGATAACATTTTGAAACCATGCTCCAAGCTGTAATTCTGTCACCTACCAGTAGGGGAGAACCGCAGCGAGCTCACTCTGATCTCAGGTTTGAAATGACGAGAACTCATGTCACCTTTAAGGATGAGCAGACACAAGAATCTGTGAGTGTCGATTCAAAAACATCAGTGAATAAGAAAAGTGAAGACTTTTTTTGTAAAAGGCCTCATGATCCTTACAAAATACAATTACTTAATTACATGAAGGGCTGCCAAAATTATATCATAAACTCAAGATCAACTCAAGGTCAAAATCAGAGAAAATGTCAAATTTTTAATCACCTAAATGAATCAAAATACATTAAAATCCTCACTTCTAAAGTTGATCTATTTTAAATTCAGGCGGTTTCAGTCCGATCACAGCGATAACCACTTCTGACCACTGCACCTTGTAGCAAACACACAACTTCCACACTTATAATAACTGGTCTGAGCCTTCGTGTGAGGGTTGTACCTCTCCTGACTCCAGGGAGGCTGACGCTGACTCCGTCTCCGTCCCCGGCTCCTTCATCCACCAGAGCCAGACTCCCGAACTCTGTCATCTTCCTCCTGTCCAGGAACTCCTGAAGGTGAAGCAGGACAACAGGATAAGTGAAACCTGTCATAATTAAAACCTCTCCAAGGACTAAAGATGCACATTTTCACGATGAAAAGTCCGATCCATCCAGGTTTAGTCATCTAACATATGCTTTTAAAAAAATGCCTTAAATTCCTATTTTGGGTTCGCCTCGTCTCCTTAAAAAAAACAAAACAAAACAAAACAACCTCAACCATAGATCTGTTTTTTCAGGACAGTCGATGCTATTAAATGTGTATGCTGCAGTCATGTGACATGGAAATAAACTAGCTGAGCAGACTGTGAGGTCGCACCTCCATAGCGTCGAAGGACAGGTTGCAGGAGATTTCAAACTTCTTTATGAGCATCTGCTCCTTGATGTTGTAGATGCAGACAAACTTGGCCTGACCTCCAGCCAAAACAGACTCCCCGTCCGCAGAGTAACACAGTGATGTAAACGACCTTAACGAGAGCCAGAAGAAAAAAAAGTCACATTAAACAAGATGATTTGAACCAGTGGAATCAAACCTGAGGCTCCAATCCCATCCACTCACTTGCCCTTGGCGGACTGCTTGGCTGTGATTTTATCCGTCTCCTTGCGGCCTGTCTGCAGGTCGTGTCGTCCAGCAACGGAGCCATTTTGTGTGGCCGTGTGCGGGTTCCAGAAAGAGATCTCACCGTTCAGAGTGGCCACAGCCAACTCCTGACCGTCAGGGCGGTACGTCACTGCCAAGCCTGAGGAACAAAAGACATTTAAATTAAAAATTTAAAAAAAA